CATGTGTTTCAGTAATAATCAGTCTTATGTTACCAGCGATTGAAGAGAGTGTTTTTTATTGAAAACTTTATTGCCTTGCTGAATACTTTGGATTGAGAATTCAGTGGAATGTAGAGATATTTGTAATGAGTGATGTAAATAACACCACATTCCTTAAGGCCTTCATGGAGGTTGAGCACTGAGCGGGACATTATTTCTGGGTCAGTTGTATTGTGATAGCTACTGCGACTGGTTGTACCGGGGCACCTGTTTCACAAATGTCGTTTACCAACTCCCAGTGTTAGAGGAATGTATGTTTTAAGTAGGAAGTACATTAATAAACAAATCACAATCCATGATGACACTTGTTTTCCTGTGCAGAACGTTACTTTCTGAAACAAGAAGTGACAATAACACATACCGTATTCGACGTAATAAGCGCCCATGGCGATATTTGCTGATATATTGGCTAGTGAACAATCCCAATAAGCACTCCTTCCGATTGATCAATGTACACAAGACTTATTTATTCGCGTATAATACGTACTCGTGTGTTATATGCATTCTTAATTATGGGCAAATATATTCTGGAAAGATATATCTGTCGCATATAATCATTTCAGTATGTCAGCATAAACCACAAAATTTATCTTTCAACTCTCTTTTTTCTACCAAAATAACATTCTAATAAGAGCCCCCTATTTCTAATTTTGAGAGCGCCCTGGGTGCTTATTACGTCAAATACGGTAGTTATTTTGATTTCTTGAAGGTTTTTGTGAAAAGTAAATTTAGTTTTTGGGTGTGTGTGTATGGGATGGAAGGAGCATACTCACATTATAGTGATAGATGCTAATAATGTACTGTATGGGGAATCAAACTCAGGTTTTTGGCATGAGTGAACACTTGAACCACTTGACTACCCCACTGAGTCGAAATCCTACATTCTTCTTGCATTTCCGGACGTATGAATCAAAAAGCTTCATGACATTAAAACAGTTTTTGATTATCTTCTCAAATATCTTTTCAGTTTGACATTTATTAAATAAAAGTAGAAACAATTCAAAATCACTATAAAAAATGCAATAGTTCTGTAAGTTCATCTTATCCAAATGCGTATTGTATTATCCAAATATTATATTATCCAATATTATATTATATCAATAAATGCATTTGTCTTGGGTGTAGGAAGTCATGAGTTTCTGGTGCAGACTCTCACCCGAGTGTCTTTTGATATCAAATATATCAACACGAGTTGATAAAAGTGGAAAAATTTCGAGGCTTGCCGAGGATTTTTGCCATTTTTATCAACGAGTGTTGATATATTTGATATCAAAAGACACTCGGGTGAGATTTTATTTATCATCCAAATCATTCTTCCAACTTTTTCAATTTGTAGACAATAATTAGCAGTGCCTTCAGTGTAAAAAGTACTGCTAACAGCTTCAGTAGCAGAGCCATTAGTGATGTATTTGATTGTGACGTCATGGTAACCAGTGACGTCACAATGGTCTGCAAAGCATTGTGATGTAATTTCATTGCAGCGATATCTACAGTGTAGATATCGCTTGATCTCATCCAAGCAATATCTCCTGTGGGAGCTGTTTTGGATGATAAATGGTATATGTGAAAGGTGTCCAGAGAATTAAAGTTTGATTCCCCCACATCAGCACAATTTGCGAAATCCCTTTCTTACTCACATCATAGCCAATAATAATCCATATAGGGACACTAACATCTACTGAAAACTATATTGTAGCCGTGAAGATCCGGGGTAGAATAGGTCTTCAGCAACCCATGCTTGCCGCAAAAGAGGTGACTAATGGGATCGGGTGGTCAGGCTCGCTGACTTGGTTGATGCATGTCATTGTATCCCAATTGTGTGGATCAATGCTCATGATGTCAATCACCGGATTGTCTCATCCAGACTTGATTAATTACAGACCACCATCATATAGCCATCATATAGCCATCATATAGTTGGAATATTGCTGTATGTTAAACAACAAACAAAAATGAGATAAAGAGTCATGTTCGGGCTAGTTGACTAAAAATGTTTTTTGCACAGCATGGAATAAACGTACTACATACTCTTTCAAAAAAATGTTTTTTTTGTTTACACTTCAAAGTTTGTTTTGTTCCTGTAGTCAAATTGACAATTCATGGCGGCAATTGTTGAACTAAATGAGTGTCTGTCAGGAAATAGACATTGACCTAGGACAGATCATTTCAAGCCAACTGCCAAATGCAAGGATGTTTAATCATTGATGTCAAAGGCATATGATATATTTTATATCGCCTCCCCCTATTTGGTTTGTGTTTGTTCTCTACTGTGTTTCCTGCAGGCAAAGTTGACCAGGATGTGCCCCAGTGGGTTGATATACAGGATATAGCTGAGTGAGGCGATCTGGGAGTAGGCATTGGAAGAAAAGTTGCCTCAATATTTTTGAAAGCCTCCATTGTTGTCAGTGTATAATATGAAGGCTGCTTTTTAGATTGTGGTTGCATTTTAATGTAACATGTGTTTTTTTCAGGATATTGGGGAATGTTGTGTTAGCCTCATCATGTTACACCAGGGTGTTGTTTGTTCAAAACAACCTTAGCGCTGCGACTGTCGTAAGTCTGTGTTAAAGTATGGGAGTTACGATCACCTTAGCCCTAAGATGTCTTTGTACAATGGCATCCTGGATTATGGATGTGCTTGTTGTACGGGGGTAACTATACTTATCATGTGGTCCGATTTGGAGACTTGGTTGAATGTGTATCATCTTACACTGACGGCATGGATCGTTGCTCATAATATCAATCTCTAGTTTCTCTGATCCAGACTTGGCTGATCCACTCACCCCAGACCAAACTTGATAATGATAGATTATTTTTATTTTATTATTATGATGTAGGTGCTCATGATATCAATCTCTGGATCTCTGATTGTTTACTGACTGCGTCATATAGCTGGAATATTTCTGGATGTGGCATTAAACAACAAACAAACAATCAGCATTGAGAATCACTGAAACGCAAATGTGCAAATATTAGAAATTTATTACATGCGATCATTCTGCTGTTATGAGTAACACATGACTTTGTCTCAGGATCAAATGTATCCTAACATCCAGTCTCTGAATATGAAATGAACAGGAACATTGGGGGCATGCCGAAGACCCAGGTTCAATTCCTAACAGAGGTACAATGTGTGAAACCCATTTCTGGTGTCCCCCGTCATGATATTGCGGGAAGATTTGCTAAAACCATACTCACTCACTCACTCACTCTGAAATGAACATATTTTATAGAAAAAAACAGTTGTTAAATTACCTTAATAAGATATAATAAAAAGGAGCCCAGAGACTTCATTTCCTAAAACTGCATAATCTAGACTTGCAACTATTATAGACTTGCATGGGCTGTATTGGATATATTTGTTTTAGGGTCTGTATGGCAGACTATATCAAGTGCACAGGACCTTGAAAGTTTGTAGCAGTAGCACTAATCCTACAACAGTACATAGGACAACAGTGCACTCGTCAAACACCATTGATTATGTTGGTTTCTGCCAGAAGGAATTACCTGATTGGATGAATAATACATGACACGGGGTACTTGGGCTGTGTATTGACATGTTGACATGACATGACCTCTTGTCATTATCACGTCAACAGCAGAATGTTGGCGCGGGAGTCGGGAAGGGATCACACTTCATAATTAAATTAGGCTTGTAGATGAGTGAGGTGAGCTGGCTGTGGGTTGTGATTTGCTGTGTGGGCTTTGTATGGGGAATTCGAGTGAGTGAGTGAGTGAGTGAGTGAGTGGGCTTTGTATGGGGAATTCGAGTGAGTGAGTGAGTGAGTGGGCTTTGTATGGGGAATTCGAGTGAGTGAGTGAGTGAGTGAGTGAGTTGGCTTTGTATGGGGAATTCGAGTGAGTGAGTGAGTGAGTGAGTGAGTGAATGAGTGGGCTTTGTATGGGGAATTCGAGTGAGTGAGTGAGTGAGTAAGTGAATGAGTGGGCTTTGTATGGGGAATTCAAGTGAGTGAGTGAGTGAGTGAGTGAGTTGGCTTTGTATGGGGAATTTGAGTGAGTGAGTGAGTGAGTGGGCTTTGTATGGGGAATTCGAGTGAGTGAGTGAGTGAGTGAGTGGGCTTTGTATGGGGAATTCGAGTGAGTGAGTGAGTGAGTGAGTGGGCTTTGTATGGGGAATTCGAGTGAGTGAGTGAGTGGGCTTTGTATGGGGAATTTGAGTGAGTGAGTGAGTGAGTGAGTGGGCTTTGTATGGGGAATTTGAGTGAGTGAGTGAGTGAGTGAATGGGCTTTGTATGGGGAATTCGAGTGAGTGAGTGAGTGGGCTTTGTTTGGGGAATTTGAGTGAGTGAGTGAGTGAGTGAGTGTTGTTTAACACCTGGCACTCAGCAATATTCTAGCTATATGATGGCGGTCTGCTCATAATTTACACTGGACCAGACAATCCAGTGATTGACATCATTACCATTGACCTATGCTATTGAAAAACAATGACATGCATCAACCAAGTCAGCGAGCCAGACCACCCGACCCTGTTAGTCACCTCTTACGAAAAACATAATCACCTCTTATGACAAGCATTGGTTGCTGAATACCAACCTGAGTGAGTGAGTGAGTGAGCGAAAGAGTGATTGAGTGAATGGATGAGCTAGTGAGTGAACGCTTCAGTGTGTTATATCACCAGAAGTATTGAGTGAGTATGGTTTTATGCCACATTTAGCAATATTCCAGCAATGTTGGTTGCTCGGTTGGCTGCTCGGTTGGCTGCTCATGTGGTTACACTGTGATAAGGCTTGGTACAATTGATGGCTTGTTTCTCATGGCTCCAGTATTAACCATGTTGATGAGGTTTCACTGTGTTGGGGGGGACAGGTGGTCCAGTCGTCAAGGGCAACGTAATTCGCTGTGCAGAGTTGCATCCCTTGGGCACGCCAGAAACCTGTGATTGTGGGTTTGAATCCCGGTTCGCCCCGATTATGTTTCTAGGTTTGTCAGCACCATAGCCGTGTTCATGGGTTAGACCGAAGTGGTAAACGTCTAAGACCTACGTCATTTTGGGCGTTCCTCCTACATTAAGCTGACACGCCGTGATATAACTGGAACCCAACTCACTCAATCACTGTGTAGGGACGGAAGTCATTTCACTTCCTTAGCCAACTAATGAAGGATTTCTTCAAAGATTTAGCAAGCATTCCTTTTGCTCTCCCTACCTTCAGTAGATGCTAGACAACACTGATGTCCTTCAGGGAAACACCATGACTTCTTGTCTTCAGAGAAGGTACTACAGGAACAACAGCCATGGAAATGTATGTTTCTGTCAAGTCTGCCACAGGGCTTCAAGTGGATCTTGAGGTGTGCCCGTTGAGATTTAAGTCTGCCACAGGGCTTCCTATGAATCTTGAGGTGTGCCCTTTGAGATTTAAGTCTGCCACAGGCCTTCCTATGAATCTTGAGGTGTGCCCTTTGAGATTTAAGTCTGCCACAGGCCTTCCTATGAATCTTGAGGTGTGCCCTTTGAGATTTAAGTCTGCAAACCAGAAGAATACTGTTCAAAGATATGAAATTGGTTCTTTGAAATACTGCTCAATAAACATGTTCACATGTCCATGCCTTGCCGTGTGTGTGTCCAGTGACTTGTGCAGATGGACACTTACCTCTGGCTTCTACTCTACTCCAAAAGACAAAATGTGACTTTCATGGAATCCTTCTGTGACCATGCTGTGTGCACTCAGATACAAGCAATTTCAATCCCTGTACAGCATGGTGTCCCAAGTGATTCCTGAACAAGCGTTATACAATTTCCATGTTTGTGTTTTCTGCAAAAAACAACAAATCAATTTACAAGCTTGAGTACAGAATGTGCATTCTGTTAACTGATAATAGCTTATGCATGTAAACAAAGTTCAAAACAATGTTTTCCACACAAGACAGGGCACAGTACAACCCAACCTGACTATAGTATGCTTTACTGTCTCAGGCCATTTTGCACTGCTCAACATTTTTGTTTTCTTTGTGTAATGAATTTTTCTTCTGTAACTAATAAGATCAATATCACTCTATCACTGCTAATGACATCAATATCAGTCTATCAATGCAGCTATTGCTGTCTGTAAACAGATCCACTTTGAGTGCTAGCCACCCATGTTGTATTTAGTCCATGTTGATCAATGTGTCCTCATTGAACCAATCAGTGTCAATCTCCCTGCCCATCAATCAGACACCTCTCGTGTTAAAAAGGTATAAACATATTCCCCTTGTTGATAAAAATCATTTCATGCAGCCATTTGTTAGAATTGTCATACATTGTAGATTCATTTGAACAGGTAATATTTAATTAAAAGACAAAAAAATTATGATCATTTGAGCGGCCATTAATGATGTATCTGACATTCAAGGGTTAAAATATTGATTAGCATGTGCATTGTTCAGAGTGTAGTGAATTGCTTTACCGGTACTTAAATATATATAACCACGTTGATCGATAGATCTCGGCAAAAACAATAAACTGTTCAAAGGCGTTCGTCATGCTTGATTGCCTCTAGTTACACACAAACTGTTCTGGAGGACCAAGCACAGGGAAAAGCATTATTATAGGAAATATTGACGGTATACCCAGTGTTCAGTAGTTAGGACGGTGTTTGAACTAAGCTTGAAAGCCAAGGGGGCCTTGTCGTGTTCCTGATCAACGATTTAGGGGCCCTACATCACTATAGCAGTGAAGGGTTACAGTGTTGATTTATACTACTCAAAAGAAGTGAAGGACCGCCCGATTCTTTCTTATTATTGTAGTTAATCTGTCATGCCATGATAGATTAATTATAGTTATATGAAAGAATCGGTGGTCCTTATCTTCTTTTGAGTAGTATATGTCAACATATCCCAGGTACGTGGATAGTTGGTCTTGATGTCAATAACTGCATTGTTTGGTCCAGACTCCATTATTTACAGACTGCCGTCATATTGCTAAAATATTTGTTGAGTGGCACATTTACAACAAAGAAACAAACTGAGTAACCCATCTACACCTCAAAGTCCTTAACGGTATACGGATGAAAGCATCATTTTTACTTTTCTATTATAATCTATGCTCCAAATTTTGCAGACTCTGTACACCCAAAAGCAAAAGGGAAACCAAATGTTGCAATGTAAAGAACTTGAGTATATGTAATCATATAGTTACAGAACTATATGATGATGTTTTTTCTATGACTACTATTTGAGAAAATAACATTTGTAAAGACGTGTGAAAACATGAATACACAACAATTAATCAGCGTAAACTCACAGTTTAATTAGATTTGTGCTCTTGGTTGTTAATGTTCATGCCATCAAAGATACTGTTTGCCTATGAACAACACAACTATTTCCAGTTGATAAAGGATTATATTGTGATATTGTGAAATAATCATTAAGTGTCATGCCAAGAGGAAGGGCTTACTTCAACAAGGGTGTGCCTTGCGTTATTTTAGGAAACAAATATTTACATACATGTATTTACATTGATCATGCTTAGACATTAACAAACTCAGCATTTATAGGTTTGGAGCTCAGCTGGGTCAAGTTACATACTCATGTTAGAACCAACTTGCACAATCCTCTATTAACTTGTTGATCATGTCACCACTGTTGGAGTCTCCAGTAGAATGGGTCTCTGGTAGAATTGGTGCCTGATAGAATGTGTGTCCAGTAGAATGGGTCCCCGATAGAATGGGTCCCTGGTAGAATGGGTCCCTGGTAGAATGGGTCTCCAGTAGAATGGGTCCACGGTAGAATGGGTCATCGGTAGAATGGGTCCCTGGTAGAATGGGTCTCCAGTAGAATGGGTCTCCAGTAGAATGGGTCATCGGTAGAATGGGTCCCTGGTAGAATGGGTCCCTGGTAGAATGGGTCTCCAGTAGAATGGGTCTCCAGTAGAATGGGTCATCGGTAGAATGGGTCCCTGGTAGAATGGGTCCCTGGTAGAATGGGTCGCTGGTAGAATGGGTCGCTGGTAGAATGGGTCCCTGGTAGAATGGGTCTCCAGTAGAATGGGTCGCTGGTAGAATGGGTCTCCAGTAGAATGGGTCCCTGGTAGAATGGGTCCCTGGTAGAATGGGTCATCGGTAGAATTGGTCCATGGTAGAATTGGTCCCTGATAGAATGGGTGTCCAGTAGAATGGGTGTCCAGTAGAATGGGTCCCTGGTAGAATGGGTGTCCAGTAGAATGGGTCCCTGGTAGAATGGGTCTTTGGTAGAATGGGTCTCCAGTAGAATGGGTCATCGGTAGGATTGGTCCATGGTAGAATGGGTCCCTGGTAGAATGGGTCCCTGGTAGAATGGGTCCCTGGTAGAATGGGTCATCGGTAGAATTGGTCCATGGTAGAATGGGTCCCTGGTAGAATGGGTCGCTGGTAGAATGGGTTCCTGGTAGAATGGGTCCATGGTAGAATGGGTCGCTGGTAGAATGGGTCGCTGGTAGAATGGGTCCCTGGTAGAATGGGTCATCGGTAGAATGGGTCGCTGGTAGAATGGGTCCCTGGTAGAATGGGTCCCTGGTAGAATGGGTCCCTGGTAGAATGGGTCCCTGGTAGAATGGGTCCCTGGTGGAATGGGTCCCTGGTAGAATGGGTCCCTGGTAGAATGGGTCCCTGGTGGAATGGGTCGCTGGTAGAATGGGTCCCTGGTGGAATGGGTCCCTGGTAGAATGGGTCGCTGGTAGAATGGGTCCCTGGTGGAATGGGTCCACGGTGGAATGGGTCCCTGGTAGAATGGGTCATCGGTAGAATGGGTCCCTGGTGGAATGGGTCCCTGGTGGAATGGGTCCCTGGTAGAATGGGTCCCTGGTGGAATGGGTCCCTGGTAGAATGGGTCCCTGGTAGAATGGGTCCCTGGTAGAATGGGTCCCTGGTAGAATGGGTCCCTGGTGGAATGGGTCGCTGGTAGAATGGGTCCCTGGTAGAATGGGTCCCTGGTAGAATGGGTCTCCAGTAGAATGGGTCCCTGGTGGAATGGGTCCCTGGTAGAATGGGTCCCTGGTGGAATGGGTCCCTGGTAGAATGGGTCCACGGTAGAATGGGTCCACGGTAGAATGGGTCTCCAGTAGAATTGGTCCCTGGTAGAATGGGTCCACGGTAGAATGGGTCCCTGGTGGAATGGGTCCCTGGTGGAATGGGTCCCTGGTAGAATGGGTCCACGGTAGAATGGGCCTCCAGTAGAATGGGTCCCTGGTAGAATGGGTCCACGGTAGAATGGGTCCCTGGTGGAATGGGTCCCTGGTGGAATGGGTCCCTGGTAGAATGGGTCCCTGGTAGAATGGGTCCCTGGTGGAATGGGTCGCTGGTAGAATGGGTCCCTGGTGGAATGGGTCCCTGGTAGAATGGGTCGCTGGTAGAATGGGTCCCTGGTGGAATGGGTCCACGGTGGAATGGGTCCCTGGTAGAATGGGTCATCGGTAGAATGGGTCCACGGTAGAGTGGGTCCCTGGTAGAATGGGTCTCCAGTAGAATGGGTCCCTGGTAGAATGGGTCCACGTTAGAATGGGTCCCTGGTAGAATGGATCGCTGGTAGAATGGGTCGCTGGTAGAATGGGTCGCTGGTAGAATGGGTCCCTGGTGGAATGGGTCCCTGGTAGAATGGGTCCACGGTAGAATGGGTCTCCAGTAGAATGGGTCCCTGGTAGAATGGGTCCACGGTAGAATTGGTCCCTGGTAGAATGGGTCCCCGGTAGAATGGGTCCCCGGTAGAATGGGTCCCCGGTAGAATGGGTCCCCGGTAGAATGGGTCCCTGGTAGAATGGGTCCCTGGTAGAATGGGTCCACGGTAGAATGGGTCCCTGGTAGAATGGGTCCCTGGTAGAATGGGTTCACGGTGGAATGGGTCCCTGGTAGAATGGGTCCCCGGTAGAATGGGTCCACGGTAGAGTGGGTCCCTGGTAGAATGGGTCTCCAGTAGAATGGGTCCCTGGTAGAATGGGTCCACGTTAGAATGGGTCCCTGGTAGAATGGATCGCTGGTAGAATGGGTCGCTGGTAGAATGGGTCGCTGGTAGAATGGGTCCCTGGTGGAATGGGTCCCTGGTAGAATGGGTCCACGGTAGAATGGGTCTCCAGTAGAATGGGTCCCTGGTAGAATGGGTCCACGGTAGAATTGGTCCCTGGTAGAATGGGTCCCCGGTAGAATGGGTCCCCGGTAGAATGGGTCCCCGGTAGAATGGGTCCCCGGTAGAATGGGTCCCTGGTAGAATGGGTCCCTGGTAGAATGGGTCCACGGTAGAATGGGTCCCTGGTAGAATGGGTCCCTGGTAGAATGGGTTCACGGTGGAATGGGTCCCTGGTAGAATGGGTCCCTGGTAGAATGGGTCCCTGGTAGAATGGGTCCATGGTAGAATGGGTCCATGGTATCACATACCACTTGTTGAGGTTGTCTAATGGGGAATGGTGGCGGCAAGTTGTGTGTCACCCTGCTAGTTGACTTGCTGCTCATGATGTCGACCAGTTGTTTGCCTAACCCACATTATTTACAGGCTGTGATGTAGACTGATATTTAGTCCCAGATATAAAGATATCTTATTTAAAAACATTCCTCTACCAAATAAAAAACTAATATTCAAATGGAGCCAAGAGGCAATCTACTTCTGGCTTGCCAAATCAATCTAGACTTGAGCTGGACTCCTTTTTTAATTATTCTGGGTCAGGGAGACAGCCAAGCTGCAATGATATTTTGCTGGAATATTGCTGACTGCAATGTTAAGCATCTGCTCACTCATCAACTTATTCCCATTTATCAGTCCCAATGTTCAGCCATTTGGACCACTAAATATCCATGTCAGTCATCCATTT